AGTGTTTTACTTTAACCCCAAACGCAGTGGAAGGCCTCGCGTCGCTAAATTTTTTTATTTTTTATTTTTAATTTAACTGTTTTGTTTTAACAAGAAAAATATTTTTTTAATTTAATTTAATATTTAGAAACATTTTTTATCTTGTCTTAATTAATTCTTTTTTAAATTGAATTTTTGTTTAAGTTTAAGATTTTATTATGTTAAAGAGAAAAAACAAATATTTTTTTTTTATTTCTTTTAATTTGTATTTTATATATTTTCTGTTTTTAAATTCTTATTTTTTTTTCATTTTAATTTTTATATTACATATATGTATTGTTTAAAAAACAATTTTTTTTCTTTAGGTTCTAGGAAACTATTTTATTTAGTTTTTTTAATTATAATTTGTTTCTTTTACTTTTTAGATTATACTGTTTTAAAGAGGAAAAATATTTTTTAACTTCGTTTAATTTAAAGGAACTATTATTTAGTTTTTTTTTGTATTAATGTCTTTTTTAATTAATTTTCCTCTTAGTTTTAGATTTCATTGTGTAAAAAAATATGTGTTAAAATTCATTTAATTTTTAGGAACTTATTTCATTTGTTTTCTGTTACTTAATTTAAAGTGCTATATTATATTATTTTAAAAAGAAATAATTTAATTCCATTCAATTTAATTTTTATTTTTATATCGTTATAATTGTTCTTTTCATTTTTAGATTTATGTAACTCTTTTAAAAAGGAAATAACATTTGTTTTAACTATGTATGCACATTTAATTTTTAGAAAAAAATGTTCTTGTTTTTTTGTAACTAAATTTTTACCTTTTATAATTTCTTTACTTTAGATTTTTGATTTCATTGTTTTAATAATAATCATCTTTGTGCATTCATATTTTTTTATTTTAGTTTTATTTTTCTTTTTTAAATACATTTTTTGATTTTATTGTTTCAGAAAGAAAATATTTTTTTTTTAATTTCATTAAATTTTTAGGAACTTATTTTTTCTTTATTTTTAATAGTTTTTTATTTAAATATATTATTATTTTTAATTTTTACTGTTTAAAAAAAGAAATTATTTTTAAAAACTCTTTTATGTTTTTTAATTTTTCTTTTTTAATTCAATATTTATTAACTTTAAGATTAATTACATATTTAAAAAAATTAAATTCATTTAGTTTTTAGAAAATTATTATTTTCTTCTTTTAAATTATTACATATTTATTTCTTTTTAAATAAATTTTCTTGTCTTTTAATTTTTGGATTTCATTAGTTCATATTTTCAAAATCATTTGATTTCTAACAACTTATTTAATAATTTCTTTTAATACATTTTTTTTTAATTTAATTTTTAGTCTTTATTGTTTTTAAAAGAAATATATATATATTTTTATTTTCATTTAATTTTAAGAAAACTTATTGCTAAAAGACAAACAGAATAACAGTAAGACCTACTCGGTGGCAGATCTTTCAATAAGTTTTTCGAAAGACAGAAAAGAGCTTTGTAGGTAATTGCTAGGATTTACAATTGCCTTAGGAAAGACTTTTGTTTTTCGAAAGACTGTGGTGAAATGATAGATCGTTGTCGTATTCGCATTTGTATTGGTCTTCGTATTCATCTTCAACTTCCTAATCGTCTTCCTCGATGTATTCGTGATCGTACTAGCATTCGCCTTTGTGATCGTCTTCATATTCATATTAATATCGACGGCTCGATCTATCTCGGCTGCCAGTTCGAAAACGCCATACCTCAGAAAACTTTTGAAGAACTTCTTATTTCATAATTTGTTTGAAAAACGCCCTATTTCAGAAATCGGTTCAAAAACGCCCTATCTCAGCTACCGATTCAAAAGCGCCCTATCTCCACATATTTTCAGTTGATATAGGGCGTTTTTAAACCAAATTCTAAGATATGGCGTTCTTAAAAAGTTTTGAGAAAAGGCGTTTTTCAATAAAATTATAAAATAGGGCGTACTTCAACCAATTTCCGAAATACTAGGGCGTTCTTGAAAAGTTTTCTGAGATAGGGCGTTTTCGAACTGACTGACGAGATAGGTCGAAATTCCACTCAGCCGTCGATGTGCCAATTTTAAAGCTATTAGGTGCGTTCGTTTAAAATCTCCAGCAGAAACCAACCAACTGCCAAATTCCGGCGAAATGTCATCTGTTCTCCCACAAGAGAGAAATATCCAAAATAGTACGCGAACAGAAAATTTGCAGAAACTTGCAAGTTAGACGAACAGCTGATATAATTTTTGTTTACATACAAAAGTGTAAAATTTAAAACGTACGAAAAGTCGTGGCAAAGTGTTATACTGACACAGTTTATTGATTAAACAAATAACCACTTATTTCTTACAAGTTTAATTAGTCGCATTTTGTAATTTTTATCTTCCAAACCATCAAATTCAAGTTTGTGATTTGCGTAAATGCCAACCAGCTGTTTTTGATCAGCTGTTTCCCTGTTGGCAAATTGCTGTTGGCAAAAATTTTTCCAACAGAAACTAACAGCTTCCCCTCAAAATGAAATGTCACTTTGCTCTCTCAATTTCCCCTACTTTGCAAGTTTTTTGCGTACGCGAACGCAAAAACCTGTAAGTTTTGGTTAAACTTGAACAATTAACAGCCGCGAACGCACCTATTATCAACAGCAAGAAAAATTTCATCGTTGCATCATTTTGTTGAAAAATCGATGTATGTTTCGGGTTCATCTTCGGGCTCGGCTCAGTCTTCGTGTGCCTTCCCGCTAGAGTTCAATCTCAACCTTCTTTCATATTCGTTCGAAAGTACATTTCGGGATCACACAATCTATTCCTTCAAAAATAGTTGACGCTACATGTACTGTGGTCCGTTACCGCAAGGCCTGCACAACAGCGATGTGGTTTAATCCTTGGGCGTGTGTAAAGAAAACAACCAGCGCCATCCTTGATGACAATCGGATATAATTCAGCAGGATATAACCGTCCTAGTCTTCTAGCTGGCATTCTGCAATATCACAGGAAATATGCCATCTGTACACGGTAACTTTTGCGAAGTGTTTAAAGCAACTTTTCACAATAAGTGAATATGTAGTAAGTATGTATACTTCTATGAAAACAATTTTTCTGATATTTTTTATTGTATAATATGGTAATAGTAAATGTAATTTTTCGCATATATGTATGTATGTATAGTAAGTACATTTTTCATTATTTATTTTGTATTGAAAGGTACGTGTCTTTACTTTATGTAGCCTCCCCGGTCGCCGAACCGTATCCGGAATCAACTTCACCGAACCTGCCTGCCTGACGTAAAATGTACTGATCGATGCCATGTACTAAGAGAGCTACTTCCAAATTGAGCTGGGCGGTTTCTTCTTTAAGTTTACTGATGGCTTTCTTTATGTTCACCACGGAGCCTATTTATGTTAAAAAATTATAAGCATTGATGAAACCGTTAGTATTAATCATCTTTTTATAAAATGGTTGTCCATATATGCAGTAAGTACAAAAGTAGAATTATTCAATACTCACTGCCATCTGACATTGATTGGCCTCGTCGCTCCATTTCACTCTTCTTGATGTCATTCTCCTGTAACACAGAATTCAATTGCTCTACCAGCGCATCTGTGTCGGTTTGAACCTGTGTTTGCGCATGCTGCACATTTGATAATTCAATTGAGATTTCCTTAAATTGACGCACAAATGATTGCAGCTCGTTATTCAAATGATTTTCACGACTTTCGATCTTCTCCAAACTGAAAGTGAACTCGCTGTGTAGCTTCTTCAATTGCGTTTGAGTATCCTCAGAGCTCTGGAAAAAAAGTATAGAAGTACTTATGGACATAGGTATGAATGTATGCATGCGGGGTGTCCTAGACCACCCGTCCACCCCCTTTAAAATGGACGGAAATGTCTTTTATTGAAAACCGCAAAAATGTTACCTACTAAACCGGGGATGCTCTATATTTTTGGTAGTATTATCGAATTCCGGTTTCGACCGTAAGTGGGTTAAACTGACCGGTAGTCCATTTTTAGATATTCGGATTCGGATTCTAAGGATAAAGATACGTAACTTTTGTTTGAAGCTTTTTCCTCAGAAGCGCCGTTTTCAACCCATTATTGACCTTCGAACTTCAACTCGTCCTGGGGGCCAATTCTGATTCTATGTAATTGTAAAGTGAAAATGAAAAATTCAATATCAGTGAAAATTTTATTTTTTCATTTTATCGTTTCGATATATCATTTTAAGCTATTCTCGATCTATAAATACTATTCCATTAACATCTAGCAAGCAATAATTTAGCAAATTATTGTGAGCTTAAGATAATGATATTCTTTATCTCAAGATGATGGTTTTTAGAAAATCGCCCAACTATTCTTTTTCACATTCACAAAACTTTGTGAAAAAGAGTTTTCACCGTGAAAAATTATTGACAAATTAATTTATTTACATTTGAAAACAGAATCGTAGTTTTATGTGAAGTGATGAAAAATGTTTTCACTTCACGTTTTCACAGAACAGGAATTGGCCTCCTGGACTTCTTAAATGGACGAATTTGTTTTTATTGGAAAATATGTACTACCAGTCAAGATTATTTCCCAAGTAATTTTCCAGCTTAGAACTACGGCAAGATATTTAGGCTTTTCGCGGTTAAGTACAGGAAAAACGGCTTTAATGGCCACTTCATTTTCTTCCATGCCTACGGAGACTATTCGTACCGATTTTGGCGGGACATATGAATATTTTTTAAGAGTCGAGATTTTTCATATGTTTTTAGTTTTTTCTTTATTAATTTAATATGAGTCTCCCTGTACTCTGGCCCAAAAACAATTTTTCGTACAAACGTGGCAGCACCTTCGTTATCACGAAGGACCATAGCTGCCAACTTGGTGCTTTAAGCACTAGATTTAGTGCTTTTTGAAAATTAAAACGCCAAAAGAAATGGTTTAGTGTCTAGTGCCTTTTTTAGTGCTTTTTTTCTGAACTCAGATTTCTCAAATGTATACGGGTGATTTTTTTGAGGTTAGGATTTTCATGCATTAGTATTTGAC